TGCTGTTGCTGCTGCTGCTGCTGCTGCTGCAAACCAGCGCGAGCCCAGCTGCTGCTGCCCGGCCTGCAGCAGCAGCAGCAGCCACAGCAGCAGCAGCAGCAGCAGCAGCAGGTGCTTGCTGTGGCCGTTTGCGCCCGCCGCGCTGCCGCTGCTGCAGCACGCCTTTGGTTTGCTGCTGCTGCGGCAGCAGCAGCAGCAGCAGGAGATGCAGCCCGAGGAGCCCTTCGCAAGGCAGCAGCTCTCCTCGCTGCCCCCTATTCAGCAGCAGCTGCCGCAAACAAGCAGCAGCAGCAGCAGCAGCAATGAGGCCTTGTATCGTCCTTTTGAGGAGGGAGGAGCAGCAGCACTTCAAAGAACTCACAAAGCAGCAACAGCTCTGCGGCTGCTGCTGTTTTGCGACGCGTTTGAGGTGTACAGACACCTCACGCCGCTGCTGCTGCTGCAGCAATTTGCTGCTGCTGCTGCAGCAGGTGTTGCACTGGGCCTGGGGGCCTCTCTTGGCAGCACAGCAGCAAGCGCGCACGGCGGGGCCCTCACAGCTCTAATGCTTGCAGACCGCATGCAGCAGCAGCAGCAGCAGCAGCAGCAGAAAAAGGTTGTGTTTGACGTGGTAAAAGATGATGCTGCTACATACGAGGGTCTCGTTGCAGCTGCGCTGCGGGCGCGCAGCGAAGTTTGCTGCAGCGAGAACTCGCAGCAGCAGCAGCTACAGCAGCAGCAGCAGCAGCAGCAGCGAGTAGTTGCTGAGGTTGGAACTGCCATCACTGATGTGCTTATAAACGCCTGCGGCGTTACTGCAGCAGCAGCAGCAGCAGCAGCGCCAGCAGCAGCAGCAACAGCAGCGCCAGCAGCAGCAGCAACAGCAGCAGCAGCAGCGCCAGCAGCAGCAGCAGCAGCCGCAGACTACCGCCGCAAACTGAGCGAAGCTGCCACAATGGCATGTTCGCTGCTGCTGCAAAACGGCTTCTTCTCTGCTGAAGATAGTGAGATAAAATTAAAAATAAATTAAACTAAATAATTAAATTAAATTAAATTGGATCAAAATAAATAATAAATAAATAGATAATAAAACAATAAATTCTGTTTGTCATTTGCCTGCATGCACTCTAGATTGCTGCTGCACAGTGCAGAGCCTGAGGGTTTGTTAGCAGTAGGGTTTAGGGTTTAGGGTTTAGGGTTTAGGGTTTAGCTTCTAGGGTCCAAGACGCACTGCTGAACTGCTGCGCGGTTAGCTTGTTTCTGTACATTGCTGCTGCTACAGCAGTGGCTGCTGCTGCTCTTGCTGCTGTTGCTGTTGCTGCTAACGCTGCTGCTGCTGCTGTTGCTGTTGCTGCTAACGCTGCTGCTGCTGCTGCTGTTGCTGTTGCTGTTCAGTTATCCAAAGTTGAGGGCTCTTGCTGCCGAGCAGCTGTATTCATTCTTGCTGCTGCTGCCGCCAACGGATTGCCCGCAGCAGCAGCAGCAGCAGCAGCGGCAGCAGCAGTATTCGGCGTTCAAGCTGCAGCAGCAGCAAATTGATGCAGCTGTAGAGCTGCTGATCACCACTCCATGGGTGCAGCTGCCGCAGTGGAACCAGCAGCAGCAGCAGCAACAGCAGCAGCAGCAGCAGCAGCACCCGTGCATGCAGCTGGTGCTGCTGCTGCGTCTCGAGGCCGAATGGAGCGAAGCGGGACTTCCCTCTTTTTGAATCAAATTAATTAAATTGTTTTCAATTTAAAAAACAATTTAATTAATTAATTTTGAATTTAATTTATTTAATTGTCCTTTTTGAAAGGACAATTAATTAGCAGCTCCTGGCGCCTTTGTTTGCTGCAGCAGCAGCAGCAGCAGCAGCAGCCGCAGCAGCAGCAGCAGCAGCAGCAAGACACAAATGGCGTTTATTTACGGGATTTCTATCTGTTGTTTATTTGCTTTTTTATTTACTTGTTTATTTTCATTTATTTACTTTCATTGATTTATTTATTTGTTCACTTCTTTATTTCCCATTTATGCTTCTCATATGCTTTTTACCATTACCCACAGCAGCAGCAGCAGCAGCAGCAGCAACGGCAGCTGCAACAGTGACAGTCGCAGCAACAGCAACAGCAGCAATAGCAGCAGCCGCAGCAGCAGCAGCAGCAGCTGCTGCTGCTGCTGCTGCTGCACTACAATTCAGTGAAAGATCTTGAAAAAGGATTGATATTTCCCGGGAGAATACTGTTGCGAGACTAGGGTTTAGGGTTTAGGGTTTAGGGTTTAGGCTTCAGAGTTAAGGCTTAAGGCTTAGGGTTTAGGGTTTAGATCCTGAGGAACCCTCAAGGGTGTTGTAAACCCTAGTTCTTGTTGCTTTGGAGTGTTTGCAATCTTGCCAACCTCCGAAACCCTAAACCCTAAACCCTAAAAAGGCTGTTCGCTTCCCTTTGCCGGAGGCTCCTAAACCCTAAACCCTAAACCCTAAACCCTCGTTTCAGAAGTTCCCCAGAAAGCAGGAGCTGCTAAACTCCCTGCATCGAATTCGAGAGGACAAGCTGGGGCATGAATAACAAAAGCAAATGCAGCAAGCCATGGCGCTGCTAGGTTTTAGGGTTTAGGGTTTAGGGTTTAGGGTTTGTCTTTGGGGCAGACGCAGCTGTGTGCTTGCTGCTGCATTGCTGTGTAGGGTTTAGGGTTTGCGGAATAGGGTTTGAAATCGGCTTTGCACTACTGAGTGAATTTCAAAAAGGGCTGCAGTCCCTTTTGCAGAGCTGCAAACCCTAAACCCTAAACCCTAAACCCTAATTTTGTGCGTGTGAAGCAATCGAGGGTTTTGGCCGCGAGGCAGCTAGCGCTTAACGCGGCGTTTCGCCGCTTTCGGGGTTTAAAAGGCGGCAAATTTAAATTAAAAAAGCTTTTATGATTTAAAAACATTAAAATATGATTTAAAACATTTTAAATGCAAAAGGAAAGAATAGAATTGAGGGTTTGCAGCCCCTTGGGGTGTACGGACAGACCAGTGGTGCGGCTGCAGCACTTTCGACAGAAGCGCCAGAAGATCAACTTCTTGTCGAATTAAAAGTCATTTTTCACTAAATTTAAACGATTTTATTGTTTTTTGGACCTTACTTTCAATTAAAAGTACCATTTAACTCCCCATTTGCTTCCTTTCGCTCCCACCGGCAGCAAGATGGAGTCTGTGGTGTCTGAAGACCCGCAGCAGCAGCAGCAGCAGCACGAGCCGCAGCAGCAGGATGAGCCGCAGCAGCAGCAGGAAAAGACCCAGCAGCAGCAAGAGCAGCAGCAGGAGCAGCAGCAGCAGCAAGAACTAGCTGTAGAAATCCCCCAAAACTTGCCAGACCCTTCTAAGAGAAGAAAAAGCGCAACTGTGGCTCAAGACCAAGCTGGCTGCTACTTAGTCTACGATCAAGAAAAAGTAAACCCTAAACCCTAAACCCTAAACCCTAAACCCTGAACTCTAGACCCTGGACCTAATAGCTGGGCCCGCAGAACCCGGAACCCGAAACCCTAAACCCTACGCCTTCAACCAAGCACCCTCAATACCAAACCATAAACCCTAAACCCTAAACCCTAAACCCTAAACCCTAACCGTAAACCCTAAACCGAGAGCCCTAAGGCCCTCCACGTTTCTCCCTAGCTTGGTGTGCCGCTAAACCCTCAACATTAGACCCAAATCCATAAAATGTAGTTCTTTCATCTTAAACCCTAAACCATAAACCCTAAACCCTAGACTCTAAACCCTAAACCCTAAACCTTAAGCGCTGAATCTTCTCTAGAATGGGCGAATATGCCCCAGAGTTCCTGACCCCACCGCTTAGCCCTAAACCCTAAACCATAAACCCTAAGCCCTAAACCCTAAACCCTAAACCCTAAACCTTAGCGACTGCAGCAACGTTCCAGTGCCCGCGGGACTGCCTTTATTAGTTTATTTCTTTTGAATTTTTATTTGAATTTAGTTAAAACTGATTTAATTAAATTAAATTAATTAAATTAATTAAATTAAATTAATTAAATTAGATCAAATTAATTAAATAAAATTAAATAAAAATGCATTTATAAACCCTCAAATACGACAGCGCGTTTCCGCGTTTGAGAGTCCTTTGGAATAATTTTTTCAAATCCAAAGTAATTAATTAAATATTATTTATTTATTTATTTATTTATTTATTTATTTATTCATTATTTATATATTTGTTCTTATTTGCTTCAGGCTCGCTGGGCTGCAGTGTGGAGTCCTTCTTTTGTTGCAGCAGCAGCAGCAATTCTAAACCCTAGCACAAAAGTGCCTCCTTATAAATATTCGAAAAGAGAAAAAGTCATTTTGGAGGCTGAAAAAAACAAAGACGTAAACCCTAAACCCTAAACCCTGTTTTAGGGTTTGCCGCCACGCAGCCCCCAGCCGCCACCGCGCGCCCCTGACTCCCAGTTGCCCGCCCAAACGCGAAACCCTAATTTGCAAACCCTTAACCCTAAACCCTAAACCCTAAACCCTTTTTCCCCCGCAGCTGTCGCGCACCAAAACCCTAGTCATCAAACCCTAAACCCTAAACCCTAAATTTCAAACTCTCCCCCCGGGTGGGCGCTAACCCCTGAACCCTAGTGGCGTAAACCCTAGGGGCTGGCTGCCAAACCCTAAACCCTAATTTGTGGTTTGTCTGCAGGCCAAGAGCAACTTCTTGGCGGGTTTGTGTTTATTTTTCAAACTAATTAGAGACTATAAAGGGACTTTTACTTTGCTGCCAGCAGCGGAAGAAGTTGAATTAAAAGATGTGGCCATTGTGGGGCTCAAGGGCCAAGAGGTATTTAAATAATTCCTTCATTGCTGCTGCTGCTGCTGCTGCTGTTGCGCATCTGCTGCCGCTGCTGCAACGCTTCTGCTGCTGCTGCTGCTGTTGCGCTTCTGCTGCTGTTGTTGCTTATGTTGCAGCCGCACATCCTTTTGTGGCTGCTGCAGTTTCCTTTGCCTTTGCTGCTGCTGCTGCTGCAGTTCCTTTCGCCGCTGCTGCTGCAGTTGTTTTTGCTGCTGCTGCTGCTGCTGCTGCAGTTGTTTTAGCTGCTGCTGGCTCCGTTTTCGGTGCTGCTGCAATCATTTTGGAGGCTGCAGCGTTCGTTCTGGAGCTGCTGCTGCTGCTGCTGCTGCGTGTGCTGCTGCTGCTGCTGCTGCTGCAGCTGCTGCGTTTCAACAAGTTTGACTTCGTTTACGAATACAAAGAACTCAGTTGTGTTGCTGCTGTCCCCAAAAGCTGCTGCGCCTTCTCCGGGAAGCAAATGGAGCAGCCGATATTTATGGGGCGGGCGAACAAAGAGGGATTTGGACTTTCTTTAAATAAATAAAAAATAAATAAATAAATAAATAAATAAATTAATTAAACTAATTAAATCAATTAAATTTAATTAGTTTAATTATTTAATTTGTTTATTTGTTTGTTTGTTGCATGCAAAAGACGCCACCAGTTTTGGCCCGCTGGATTTCAAGTTGGGGCTGCATGCGTTTTGGCTCGAAGACACTTTCGACTTTTATTTTCGACTTTTCTTTAAATTCAAAAAAGTGAAAACCAATTAAATGCAATTAAATGCAATTATATGCAATTAAATTTAATTTAATGCAATTTAGTGCAATTAGTTGCAATTAAATCCAGTTAAAAGGGAATTAAATGGAGTTCAAACGCCAGCTACCTGCAGCTAGCTAGCTTGGCAGCTAGCTGGCTAGCTAGCTAGCTAGCTGCAGTTAGCTAGCTAGCTAGCTACTTAGCTAGCCAGGTAGCTAGCTGCTTATCTAGCTAGCTAGCTAAGTGGCTAGCTAGCTAGCTGCTTATCTAGCTAGCCAGCTAAGTAGCTAGCTACTTGGCTGGCCAGATAGCTACTAAGCTAGCTACTTAGTAGCTAGCTAGCTACTTAGCTAGCCAGCTAGCTAGCCAGACAAACAGTTACCTAACCTGTTAGTTAGCTTCCTATTTAGCTAGCTAGCTGGCCAAGGAGGCAGCTTGCCCGCTAGCTAGCCGGCAAGCTAGCTGGCCGCCTGCCTAGCTAGCTAGCTAGCTAAGCGGGGAAGCAAATGGCTAGCTAGCCAGCCATGTAGCTAGCTAGCTAAGTAGCTAGCTCGCTGGCCATCCAGCTAGCTAGCCACCTGGCTAGCCACCTGGCTAGCTGTCCAGTTAGCTAGCTACCTAGCTAGCTAGCCAGCTAGCTAGCTGGCTAGCTAGCCAGCTAGCTAGCTAGCCAGCTAGCTAGCTATCCAGGTAGCTAGCCAGCTAGCTACAATTATAATTATAATTATGGATCTAAAAATAAAGTGAATATAATGCACTTAGCTGCTGCAGCAGTAAAGAAAGGATTTGACTAAAGAGTAAACTGCATAAGCAGCAATTGAAAATCCCAAAACAAAAGAAAAGACTGCTGCTGCTGCGCGTTGTTTTCTTGCTGCTGCAGCGTCTGCTGCTGCTGCTGCTGCAGCGTCTTTTGCTGCTGCTGCAGCGTCTGCTGCTGCTGCTGGTGCATTAACAGGTATTTTAACTTCGCCGGCTCTGCGCGGCTTTGCTGCTGCTGCTGCTGCTGCTGCTCCTGGGCTGCCGCAAACGCTTGCTGCAGCAGCAGCAGCAGCAGCTAAAACCCTTTCTATGGGCTCGTGCTGCAGCTCCCCTCCAAGTATTTCCTCCATCCTTTTTTCATAATCCTGAGGAGACAAAAACACATCCATCATTTTACTTATTTCCTACAAAACCCTTATTTAGGGTTTACGCCCAAGGGATTGAAATGAAAAGGGTTTAGGGTTTAGGGTTTACAGCGCAATCGTTGGAAGACACCGTTTGCGGCCCCAGACATAAGGGTTTAGGGTTTAGGGCTTACTGTGGGGCCGCGTGAGAGGGCCGGCCCGGGGGTTTGACACCGAGGGTTTAGGGTTTAGGGTTTACTTCTAGGGTTTGGAAAGCTGAAGCTTGTGAACACTTGTCCAAGTCTACAGCAGCAGCAAAAGCAAACTTTTGAGATTTGTCTTTTTGAATAAAAACAGAAAAAGGACTTTTAATCACTTTGTATCTTTTTGCTGCTGCTGCACTTAGATTCGTCCCCCTTGCTGCTGCCTGCAGCAGCAGCAGCAGCATCTGCTGCTGCTGCTGCTGCTGCCGCTGCTCCTGCAGCTGCTGCTGCAGTTGTTGTTGCCGGCGCTGCTGCTGTTGCTGCTGCTTCTGCTTCTGCTGCTGGTGCTTCTGCTGCTTCTGCTGCTGCAGCTGCTGCAGCTGCTGCTGCTGCAGCAGCAGCAGCTGCTGCTGCTGCAGCTCAAAGAGCTCATTGAAGTGAAAGTGCAGCAGCACTTTGTCACTTAAACGCAAAACTGCCAATGCTGCCACAGCGCCGCAGCTCATGTTGAATTTCAGAAAATAAGAATAAACAAATAAATGAACAAATAAATAAATAAATAATTGAAAATGTTAAATATAAATAAATAATAAATAAGTAAATAATAAATAATTGTAAATGAACTAAAATTCAGAAAAGGCTCTGTGGAGAAATTGATTTGGGGCTCCAGCGGCGCTACAGTGTATCTACAGCACCACTGGCAAAAGAAGAAATCATTTATTTTATTTTATTTTATTTTAATTTTAATTTTTATTCTTTGAAATTAAAAATTAATTGAATTAAATGTATATCTTAATGGTTCTTTGCTTCTGCAGCTGCCTTTGGCCACACAAAAACTGCTCGCGAGCTGCTGCTGTTGTTGCTGCTGCTGTTGCTGTTGTTGTTGCTGCTGTTGCTGCTTCTGCTGCTGCAGTTATAGGTGTCGCAGCAGCAGAAGCTGCTGCTGCCACTGTTATTGCCGCCGTTGCTGTTATCGCGGCTGCTGCTACTGCTGTTGTCGCTGCCGCGTGCATGCTGCTGCTGTTGCTGCCGCTGTCGCCGCTGCTGCTGCTGCTGCTGTTGCTGCTGCTGCTGCTGCTGCTGATCCAGCGGGAATGGCGCGAAAGAAGTCTTTTCAGTTAGTGTGGAGGTGTAATTTGTCGAATTGATTTAAATGAATTCAAATAAAAGAAAACTCTTCATTTCAAAAAGCCTCCTTTCGAAACCGCCACCACATACACCCGAAAAGAGTGCGGCGAATCGAGCGCCGCGCCGCCGGGAAAGCTGAACGATCTTTCGAGTAAAGTTCAGTTAAATGATTGAAAACAAAATAAATAAATTAAATACTTCAAAACAAACCTTCTCGGGGATTTTGGAAAGAGAAGAACGGCTGTTGCATGCAGCAGCAGCAGCAGACTCGGTTGTTCGTTCCACTCGACCGCGGCTGCGACTGGGCTGCGCCAGGAGCAAATCGAAGAATTCAGCCGTTTAAAAACCAAAATTAAACGCTAAAGGGAAATTAATTCGACTCGAAAATGCAAACAAACCAAAAGTGGAAACATTTGGCGAAAATTAAATCGAAAAACCCGCAAAACCACTACAGCCACCCTGAACGCGCGCGCTGTGCTGCACAGACACCTCGCGCTGCGTTCTTTGGTGTCTCGCGCCCGAATTCGCCGTTTAATTCGTTTTTATTTTCAAAACAAACATTAAATTCAGAAAGTAATTAAAAAAAGAGTTCTAAATGGCATTTTTTGCGCGATTTTCCCCCAGCGGCTGCGCGAGAAACACTCCCTTCCTTCTCGCCTCCTAATTTCGCAAATAAACTTGAAAAGTACCTTTTCAAAGGGTCTCCTGCGGCTAGAGAATGGAATACTGAGTTCTAAAAGATTTGAAAATCTATTTTAAATCTAAAATGCCAAATTAATAAGTCGGAAATTCATTTTGTGCAGTTCAGATAATTGTCTTCTGCTGACACTGGGAGGTCTTGCTGAGGTGTATCTGCTGCAGCAGCACTTTCGAGTTCGAATTAAAACGAATTTATTAATTGAAAAAATAAATAAATTTAAATTAAATAAAGTAAATATATTTAAATTAAATGGACTTCAAGTTTGCAGAAGAAAGGGGCTCGGGGCGAACAACGAAACCCTAAACCCTAAACCCTGAGGGCCTGCTGCGAGGGTTTAGGGTTTAGGGTTTGCAAGTTGTGTTTGGTGGCGTCGAATTCGGGGGTTTGGAAGGCGAGTTTGTTTGTGAGGGTCCAGGGGAGAGAACAGTGCATGCAAAGAGCAGCAGAAGGGTTTAGTTCTTGGTAGAAGTTTTCAATAAACCCCGAAACCCTAAACCCTAAACCCTCGTAAAACCCTAATGCCCCCTCGTCACTCTTCAAAACATGCAAAACGCATTTTTTTAAATCTTCTCTTCGAGAGGCTTCTTCTAAAATGTAACCCAACAGCTGAGTGGCTGAAAACAAAACAATTTAATTAATTTAATTAATTTAATTAATTTAATTAATTTAATCTAATTAATCTAATTAATTTAAATGAATTAATTGAATTAATTTAATTAAAGTACATTAAATTAATTAGATGTATCTGTTAAAAATGAATTATCTTTTGAAGGGATACGGTGAGATTTTAAAGGAACTAAAAAGTGTTTCATTTTTTATTCTTATTTCATTTTATTTATTATTATTTTATTTTATTTTGTTTTTCCCCCTTATTTTATTTTATTTATTTATTTGTATTAACTAAAAGAATTTAAATTCATTTAAATTGGTCGCGAAAAACCCTAAACCCTAAACCCTAAACCCTGAACTCTCCCACGCATGCCCCGCCAAACCCTAAACCCTAAACCCTAAGCACCCCCGCAAACCCGCAACCCTCAACCCTAAACCCTAAACCCTAAACCCCGAACCCTAAACCCTCCCAAGCATCCCCCCAAACCCCAAACCCTAAACCCCAAACCCTAAACCCTAAACCCTAAACCCTAGCTCACCAATTCCCAGGCGGCGGTAGGGTTTGAGAACTGCCAAAGTCATGATGTATAATTGTTTATTTCCTTCTTCATCAGATTCAACTCTGCAAGTTATTCCCCCCACCATCACATCCCCCAGATACGCTGCACGCAAACCCTAAACCCTAAACCCTAAACCCTAAACCCTAAACCCTAAACCCTAAACCCTGAGCCCTAGATCGTGCGCCCCAAGCCCACAACCCTGGACCCTAAACCCTACACCCTAAGCCCTAGACCTTAAGCCCTACACTGTGAGCGGCACATGCCAAACCCTAAACCCCAAACCCCAAACCCCAAACCCCAAACCCTAAACCCTAAACCCTAAACCCTACCGAGCCTGCAGAAGGCGGGGTGTTCTGCCACGTAGTTGTAATAGTCTGCGCTGTAGGGAATTGGAATTGCTGCTTCATTTAAAGTCTTTAGAGCTTCGATGTTGTGGCGGGTCAGCTGCCCCAGTCCGAAGCCTGGGGGCGGTGGTTTTGCTGCTGCTGCTGCTGCTGCTGCTGCATCTGCTGCTGCTGCTGCAGCGGGTGCTGCTGCTGCGTCGGCTGCGGCGGAAGCGGGTGCTGCAGGAGCAGCTGCTGCTGCCGGCGCCGCTGCTGCTGCCGGCGCTGCTGCCGCTGCTGGAGGCATGGTGCTGCTGCTGCTGCTGCTGCTGCTGCTGCTGTCGATGCTGCTGCTGCTGCTGCTGCTGCAACGCCGCTGTCTGCGCGGGAGGGCTGCAGCAAACAGGAGGGAGGGAGCAGCAGATCTGATTTAAATAAAAATAAATCAAATAATAAATAATTATCTTTATTTGAGTTAAAAAGAAAAGAAACTTACTTGCTGCCAGAGGCCCCTGCTCCCCGAGGGCCCCGCTGCAGCGCAGCAGCAGAAGTTGCTGCTGCGTTTTCGCCGACTGAGGGAATAAAATGATTATTTCGATTTAATTTAATTGAAATTAATTTAATTTAATTAAATTGAATTTAATTTCATCAAAATAGTCCATTTAAACCATTTCACTCTCTCAGCTTCAGTTCAACAACCCCCAGCGGGGGCCCCACTGCATGCACGTTGGCAAACAAGTTGCTGCAATTAAATAAATAAATAAATAGATAAATAAATAAACATAAATAAATAAAAATAATAAATAAATAAATAAATAAATAAATGAAAAGCTATGAGATCGTCTACAGCTCTCACTCCGTGTCTTGCTCTGCCAGTTAAGGAAAAGGGTTTAAAAAGGCCGCAGGGTTTTGAGTTAGGGTTTAGGGTTTAGAACTAGGGTTTAGGATTCTGCTCGAGGGTTTAGGGTTTAGGACTAAGGTTTAGGGTTTTCCCTCCTAACAAAATAGAATGGAGGGTTTTGCCGTGACCCCTTCGGTCTAGGGTTTGCAGTTGTGCCACAGCCTACGCTGCAGAGTTAGCAAACCCTGAACCTTAAACCCTAAACCCTAAACCCTTGTGCAACGTTGCCGCGTATCGGTTGACTCGCTAGGAAGCAAAGTTGCACAACGCGGCAGCAACAACAGCAACAGCAGCAGCACCAACAGCAACAGCAGCAACAGCAGCAGTGGCTGCTCCCGCTGCTCAAACTGATAAGGTGATAAATAAAAAGCCCTGAAAGATTAATAAACCCTCAGCAGCAGCAGCAGCAGCAACATCAGCAGCAGCAACAGCAACAACGGAACGTTCGCAGCAGCACCAGGAGCAGCCGCCGCAGCAGGAAGACTCCCAGCAGCAGCAGCAGCAACAGCAGCAACACAGCAGCAGCAAGAACAGCAGCAGCAACAGCAGCAGCAGCAACAGCAGCAGCAACAAGAGCAGCAGCAGCAGCAGCAACAGCCGATGGCGAAAAGGAAAAAAGAAGATTAGTTTGGTTTTGAAAGAAGGGAGGTGTCTGTACACCTGAGTTGTGTGTGGGGCTGGGGTGTCTGTACACCTGGGGCAGCAGCGGGAAAAAGGAAAGAACTTTGGCAGCAAAAGAGATCAAAATGAGCAGAAAAAAGAGGAGAATTCGAAAATAAAAGAATTAGAACTCCAAATGAAGAATTAAACTCTGAAAATCCGAAAAAGTCTCAAAGAATTCCATTTGTAATTCGCTGAAAATTGTCGTACTGCACCGTCCGGAAGTTGTTCACAGACACGTCTATCAGCTGCACCACTCGCTCTATGCACTGCAAAAAAGACAAAAAAGAATCAAATGAAATTCAAAAAAGCAATAAAAGAGAGACTTTAAATGGCAATTAAAAGGGCATTTAAAAGGATATTAAATGGAGATAAAAATGGGATTTAAAGCAGACAAAAAGGAGACAAAATAAAGGAGAAAAGGGGCAAAAAATACATGTCTATCAACCTATGCACTGCAAAAGAATACAAAAAAAAGAATAAAAATGAATTAAAAATAGGGATAAAAAGGGAATAAAAAGGAGATTTAAAGGGTTAATAAATGAATATTAAAGTGGATATTAAATGGAGATTAAAATGGGATTTAATGGAGACAAAAAGGAGACAAAGTGGAGGAGAAAAGGAAAAAACAGACACGTCTACCAGCTGCACCACTCGCTCTATGCACTGCAAAGAGACAAAAAAGAATAAAAAAGAATTAAAAAAAGGATAAAAAGGGAATAAAAAGGGAATAAAAAGGGAACAAAAATGATATTAGAGAAGATATTAAATGGAGATTAAAATGGGATTAAAAGGAGCCAAAAAGGACACAAAATGATGGAGAAAAAGAAAAAACAAAAATCGCTATCAGCTGCACCACCCGCTCTATGCATTGCAGAGAAAGACAAAAAACTAATAAAAAAAGAAATAAAAAAGAAATAAGAAGGAAACAAAAAGGGAAGTAAAAGAGAAATAAAAAGAAAAAAAAGGAAATAAAAAGGGAGTTCAAGAGGATATTAAATGGCAATTAAGAGGAGATTAAAAAAGAAATTAAATAGGGAATTAAATGGTGATTAAAATGGGATTAAAACGAAACAAAAAGCTCTATGCGTCGCAGAAAAAGACAAAAAAGAAATTAAAAAAAAAGAATAAAGAATAAAAAGGAGAATAAAAATGGAAATTAAAAAGAAAATTAAGAAGATATTAAAGAGAAGAATTCAATAAACAGAAGCAGCTAAAAATGAGGAAAAGAAGGGCAAAAGGGTTTAGGGTTTAGGGTTTAGGGTTTAGGGTTTGGGTGGGACCTCAAACTGTGTGGAAAAAAGCGGAAAAAATGCAAAAAGGAAAAAACAAAAGGGGAATTAAAACAAAACAATTTAAATTGAAGCAAATTAATTAATTAAATCAAATTAATTAAATTAATCAAATTAAATTAATTAAATTAAATTAATTTAATTAAATTAATTAAATTAAAACTCCCACCGCGTCTTCTGCAAGGCCCAACAGAAACCTTTCCTTCAAAGCTCCCAAAGTGTACTCCGCGCCCCCAGAGAAACAGGGCATTTTCGAGGCTGCAAAATAAATAAAAATAAAAAAAAAAAATAAATAAATAAAATAAATAAATAATTAATTAATTAAATCAATTTATTCATTCATTGGCATGCGCAGAGAGCAGAGAGAAGAGGCGGTTTAGTCGCAGTTTGTTCTGCATTTTTTGAGCAAAATACTGCTAAACCCTAAACCCTAAACCCTAAACCCTAAACCCTAAACCCTTGAGTGTGCAGGACGCAAAGCACCACGGGCAACGACCCGCCATCCAAACCCACACCGCGAACGCTAAACCCTAAACCCTAGAAACTAAACCCTAAACCCTAAACTCTAAACCCTAAACCCTAAACTCTAAACCCTAAACCCTAAACCCTAAACCCTAAACCCTAAACCCTCACCGGAAAGCATCATTTCGACCATCAAGATGATTCTGTCCGCGTGTTTTCTCGCCTCAAGAAACCCTCGAATAATTAAAGTTCGAAAATATTCATAATTGTCCGAAGTCTCCCCATCCATCACGTCCAAAAACTCCTGCGCCAAACCCTAAACCCTAAACCCTAAACCCTAAACCCTACGCCCGAAACCCTAAACCCTAAACCCTAAACCGTAAACCCTAATTACTTGAGTCAGCTTGAAGGGCGCGGTTTCGAAGTTTATATTTCCCGGAGAGTTCGAGAGCAGGAAGCCGTAGTCTGCACATTCACCCCAAACCCTAAACCCTAAACCCTAAACCCCAAACCCCAATCCCTAAACCCCAAACCCCAATCCCTAAACCCCAAACCCTAAACCCCAAACCCTAAACCCCAAACCCCAAACCCTAACCTAAACCGTAAACCCCAAACCCTAAACCCCAAACCCTAAACCCTAAACCCTAAACCCTAAACCCTAAACCCTCACCGATGTGGATGACGTGTCCCTCTGCGTCTAGCAGCAAATTGCCGTTGTGTCTGTCCTTGACTTGCAGCAAATAAGAAACTAGCGAATAAGCAGCATGGCTTTCGATGAAGTTCTAAAACACAAAACCCTAAACACTAAACCTTAAACCCTAAACCCTAAACCCTAAAGGGCTTTTCCTTGCGCTTTTGTTTATTTCAAAAAGCAAAAAGAACAGCAGCAAAAGCAGCAAATTTAAGCAGCAAAAAGCAATCTTAAATGCAACAAATTGGAAAAGATAATTCAAGAAAAAAGAAAAAAGAAAGAAACTTTAAATAAAATAAATAAAAAAGAAACGAAACGCAGCAGCAAACTTGCCGCAAATGGCAAAGGGTGAAAAGTGAAAAATCAAAAAAGGAAAAAGGAAAATAAAAGTAAAGCAAATTAAAAGTTAAAAAATAAAACAAACAAAAAAAGAAGAGATAAAGAAATAAAGAAATAAAAAGAAATAAAAGAAGTAAAAATGAAAAAGAAAAGGAAAATATAAAGAAGAAATACATTTAAGAGCGGGGAACGAAACAGCAGCGGCAGCAGCAGCAGCAGCAGCAGCAAATGAAAGAAATAAAATAATTTATTTGAATAGAAAAATAAAATAAAAATCATTTATTTAAAATAAAAACAAAAAGATTTAAAGTAATAATAGAAGAAAAAGTAAAATAAACAAAGATCCCGCTTTGCTGCTCATCTACCACCAGCAGCAGGAGCAGCAGCAGCAGCAACAGCAGCAGCAGCATTAAATAAAACAATTTCTTATGAATTTGCTCACAAATAAAAACAAATAATAAAACAAATAATAAAATAAACAATAAAGCAAACAAATAAAGCAAATACATAGAAGCAAATCAGAATAAATGAAGAAATAAAAACAATAAAATAAAGCACCATTTTTGCTTCAAAAGAAAAAAGAACTTCAAAAACTGTTGCACTTTATATATTTATATATCAAATGAAATAAAACAAACAAACAAATAAAACATACAACAAAACAAATAAACTAAATAAATTAAATAAAATTAATCAAATCAAATAAATTAAATAAAATCAATTAAACACCCTTTTAGCTTCGATATGATTATCTGCAAAAGGAGCTCCAAAAACTGTTGCAACAGATTTACAAATAAAATGAAATAAAGAAATAAAAAAAACTAAAACGCATAAAAAAGTGAAATAAAAACAAATAAATTAAATTAATTAAATTAAATAACTTAATTTAATTTATTAAATTAATTAATTTAATTAAATACCTTTTTTGCTTCAAAAGGATTATCTGCAAAAAGAGCTTCAAAAACTGTTGCAATCGAATCCACTCCATGTTTCTTCTTCAAGACATCGACAGAACAAGTGTCCGGCAAACACTCCATTATGCCTTCACGCAAACCCAAAACCCTAAACCCTAAACCCTAAATCCTAAACCCTCGCACACGCACAGCAAACCACTTCTGGAGAAACACAAACCACACCCACAAACCCTCAACACGAAGTTCTAAACCCTAAACCCTAAACCCTACCCAAGAACAACGTCTGGAGAAACACAAAACACGCCCACAGACCCTCAACACGAAGTTCTAAACCCTAAACCCTAAACCCTAAACCCTAAACCCTGAAACCTAAACCCTAGACGCTAGACCCGCCTCTTCGAAAATGGTTTTGAATTGCTGCATTAGCAAAAACCCTAAGCCCGCCTGGAAACCCCAAACCCTAAACCCTAAACCCTAAACCCTAAACCCTAAACCCTAAACCCTACCCGAGCTCGCCCCTGTGACCAAAATTTCGTAGGGTTTCAGCCACAAAGGGAGTTTTGCTTCTTCGAAAATTGTTTTGAATTGCTGCACTAGCAAAGACCCTAAGCCCGCCTGGAAACCCCAAACCCTAAACCCTAAACCCTAAACCCTAAACCCTAAACCCTAAACCCTACCCGAGCTCGCCCCTGTGACCAAAATTTCGTAGGGTTTCAGCCACAAAGGGAGTTTTGCTTCTTCGAAAATTGTTTTGAATTGCTGCACTAGCAAAGACCCTAAGCCCGCCTGGAAACCCCAAACCCTAAACCCTAAACCCTAAACCCTAAACCCTAAACCCTAAACCCTACCCGAGCTCGCCCCTGTGACCAAAATTTCGTAGGGTTTCAGCCACAAAGGGAGTTTTGCTTCTTCGAAAATTGTTTTGAATTGCTGCACTAATTGCGAGGCGAGAAGTTCTTGCCGCAAGTCATCTCCGCCCTTCACGAGAATGCCTGCAGCAAATCATTAATTCATTTTTATTTTATTTTATTTTGTGTTTTATTTTTATTTTTATTTTATTTCATTTTTATTTTTATTTCTATTTTTTGTTTTGTTTGTTTAATTGTTTATCATTGCTTTGGACTATTTGTTTTTTATTTGGATTATTTGTTTTGCTTATTTTCATTTTTTGTTTTGTTATTTTATTTATTCGTTTAATTTGTTTTGGTTATTTATTTCGTTTACTTCAATTATTTGCTTTAATTATTTGTTTAATTTATCTTTCTTCTAACCGTTTATTTGAGGTACATGTTTTATTTGTTTTGTTTATTTTAATTATAATTTGTTAATTAATTGAGTAATTAATTTACTTTTTTAGCTTATTATGCCAATTGGCTGCGTTGTTAACAAAACAGTTAGTTAGCTAATTATTATTGAGTATTTAATTGTTTGCCTATTTAATTATTTAATTATTTAATTATTTAATATTTAATACTTTTTTTTAATTATTTCATTACTTGATTATTTAACTATCAAATTGTTTAATTAGTCATTTATGTATTCGTCTAATTCTCATTTACTCACTACTATTTAAAATAATAAAATAAATAAATTAACTGGTCACTCGTTTTCTTATTTGTTCACCAATTTGCTATTTAGTGGAATAGGTTGAATTAATTAAAATTAATTAAATTGAATTAAATTGGACTGAACCAATTAAATCAAATTAAATAAATTAATTTGGAGTAAATTAAATTAAAGTGATTACATAAATTCTACAGATAAATTAAGTCAAATCGAATTCATTAAATTGAATACAATTAATTAACTAATTGGATTAAATTGATTAAATTGTTAATTTAATTAACTGAACTAATTATTAATTAAATTAATTAAATAATAATTGAATAACTAATTAAACAATTAATTAAATTAACTACATTAATTCATTAAATTAATTTAATTATTTAATTGAATTAATTAATTAAATAATTAAATTAAATAATTAAATAATTAAAAAAGAATTTACATTTTAAATCCCAAGACTTGAGTTTGCCATAAGGACTTCGCCGCCGCAGCCGTTCTCGACGAGCCGCCCAAAGTTCTCCCTAAAAAGAAAATAAATAAATTAATTTATTTTAATTTAATTAATTTAATTCAATTAATTTAATTTAATTTAATATTTATTTAATTTAGTTTGAATTAGTTAATTTCAATTGATTTAATTTAATTTGAATTAATTTGCTTTAATTTCATTTAGTTTAGTTTAATTTAAATTAATTTAACCGGATTTAATTTGATTTGAAGTAATTTAATTTAGGTTGATTCGATTTGGTTTAATTTAATTTAATTTAACAAATATATAATAAATGAATAAATGATAAATTAATAAATCATAAACTAATAAATGATAAATAAAAGTATGTAAATAAAAATAAATAAATAGTAAACAATAAGTAAATGTTTGATTAAGTATTAATACAGTTACTGGAATAAATGGCAAATAAACAAACAACAAAGAGACAAAGAATTAAATAATGCTAAACAATGATAGTAAATAAATAAATAAGTAAATAAATAAATAAATAAATAAACTAAATAAAACATAAATAAATGATAAATAATAAAAAACAAAATTAAAAACAATCATAATTTAAACAAAATATAAAAACTAATAAGTTGCAAAAATGAAAAAAACGCATGCAACTTCTAGGGCCACAAAAATGCTAAACAAGAAAAGAAATAAAAATTAAACTATTAATATAGATAATAATCAAATTAATCAAATTAATTAAACTAATCAAATTAATTAAACTAATCAAATTAATTAAACTAATCAAATTAATTAAATTAATCAAATTAATTAAATTGAATTAAATTAACTAAATTAATTAACTTAATTAAATAATCAAATAGTTAAATAAAAGTGCAGCAGCAAAAGGGTTAGGAAATACCCAGAGGGAGTTTGTCTTGGGCTGCGTTTTTGCTGCTGCTGCTGCTGCTGTCTTTTCGAAGTGGTTTTCGGACAATGTGAGAGCTGCTGCTGCTGCTGCTGCTGTTGTTGCTGGCGACCCTGCATCTGCTGCTGCTGGAGTTCCTCCTGCTGCTGTTCCCGGTGTTGCTGCTGCTGCTGCTGCTGCTGCTGGGGGCGGCGACTGCGGCCTCCAAGGGGCATCGCTAGCAACGGGGAGCCGCAGCAGTTGCTGCTTCGCTGCTGCTGCTGCTGCTGCTGCTGCTGCTGCTGCTCTTTCGCCGGCAGCAGCAGCAGCAGCAGCAGCTGCAG